GTTATCCCAGTCAACTGTGCATTTCACAGTCTCCGATAGGTGGCTGCGATGTAATATCTACACGTGGATGTATTCATGAACGGCGGTGTTGCCCAGTGTCCTTTAGTGCCTATACTGAGCTATCTGCGTTCAATGAGTTGGAGCTACGGCTACCGATGCTGTTACGTGCATGTGCTACGCTGTTATGTTGCCTCCAGTGCAACTGGCTATTCTACTTTTGAATAGGCTGACCCTATTCCATTTCTGACTGCGTATATTCACAGTTGTTGTCGCTATGGCCAATGACACTGTGTTTATGTACACTCAGTATGTGTTGATTGCACTTCTTACATTGGCTTGGAACATCAGCTATGTCCTACAAGGAAGTGTCAGTTCCTCGTAACCCGCTTGCTGGAATGGAAGAGGGCAAGTGTGGAGGTGGCAAACACATAAGACGCCTGCTGGTGATCAGACCGTCGTGAGTTCCACTCAAGAGTCTCTCTGGGTGGGTATATATAATCCAGGTTACGCCGTGCCGCGGTGGAGCTCTGGAAGTACTAGACCTCCAGGATAAAACAGGCTGGTTTTCTGAAAGTGCACCCCAGAGCAGGGTGCAGCTTTCCTGGGCTTGAGACCAGCGCACATGCTGGATTGGGCGATGGTGGTGTCAATATGAAAACTTTAAAACTTATCACCCCCGGTTCACGGACCTGTGAGTTATGGGGGGCCTACGACAATCCCCCTCGGGAAGGTTCTGTTCTACAGACGATTCAGGCACTCCAATTGTCAAGTTTGTTGATCCGCCTATAGCGTTGTGGGTTCAGTGAGTTATTTTGAACTCATGGAACTGTTACCATCAACTGTGCAGTAGTCTTTTTGCAGGGTTACCTTTGCTGCTAACTCTGTGTGTGGCTACTTGGTTATGCAGCTGTCACCGCTATGCTGTTGTCACTGTATTAACTCTTTGCTTTAGTGCTTATGGTGTTGTGCTGCCCTGTCAAGTGCAGCCTTCGCTTCTTTGCATTGGATGTGCAACTTGGTAATGTAGGAGCAGACGTTGGTCTAGTTCGCCTATCCGTTGAGTGCTCCAAGCGGCGTGGCTGGCTTAGAACTGTTGTTTCCTGGGGAGTGTAGCTTGACCCCGTCAGGGCTTATCTTCACTGCGCTCACGGCGGGATTCTATACAGTTCCCATATACGTCAGTATGACGTAATGTCGAAGTGACCGCCTTGAAAGGGAACGTCTCCGGTTACTATCGTAACCTCGGTTCCCTGAGAGGCGGGAACGAGACATTACGTCATACTGACGTATATGGGAACTCCCCCTTTCTCCATTTCCACTGAAATCTTATAGGCTAACGCCAGCTGGAGACAGCTGGCCAATTGACGCAAACATGCAAATGCTGACCGGTCCACGGGCAGTATAAATAGCATGGGCGCGCCAATTGCGTCAGAATCACGACTGAACGCTAGCACAGCTGATCAAACGGTGAGCACGGCGGTTGACGTAATGTCTCGTTCCCGCCTCTCAGGGAACCGAGGTTACGATAGTAACCGGAGACGTTTCCTCGGCTGTGAACGCTCCTGGCGCGCTCTTATTATCATAATAATAATCCACCATATTTCGTTTCGACATCCTGCTGTATAAGTCCCAGATATGTGATTCATGAACAATCTGTTCATTGTGTATGTCACGTGACAAATGAACGTAAGACTCGGAAGCAAGGTAAAGTGATTATTTATGTTCCCTGTAAATAATTTTTTACTGCATGATTTCTTAATTCAGAATATGATCAACATTGCATAGGTGGATGTGATCGGGGAATTTGGCTGTTAAAATTATAACATTAAGCCACTTAAATAAACAAAATTACTCGAATGACTCAGAAAATCAGTAAAATGAACTTCCTATTCATGACTCGCGAGAGCAGCGGCTCGGTCTCGCCCTCGATCGCGGCGCTGCGGAAACTAAAGCATTCCTGACTCGTGAGAGCCATAGACAGTAAAGGGTGAGAGTAGGGGCTGGGGCTCGTCCTCGCGGCGCTGCGGGGCGGCGGAAGCTAAATCAGTCATGGCTCGTGAGAGCAGGGCAAGCCGATGCTGTGGGGCGACAGCAACTCAGTAATTCATATAACGTTAAATAACCTAGTTTGTGAATTGTTCATTCCCGGTTGGCACACATTTTGCAGCCCTTACAAAAGCGCCGCTCCCTGTTTACAGTGGAAGTTCAATCATAAGGCGTTTCTCAATGTCAAGGAAGGATCCTCGGAAGCCGGAATTTCGAGGATGCTACGTCATCGACGTCCGTCGAAGGACTGTTCCAATGTCGAGGATCCTCAGAACTTCAACCAAGGACTGAGTCCTTCGTTCGGAAAATATCCCATACACAGGAAAGGATGCATATGTGTAGCCTTCGCGCTCTTAAATCACCCACAATCCTATGCGCAGCTTTGCTATCTTGTTCAAAAAATAAAAAAATGTCGACCGTTAGCGGAGTCGGAGTGATAACGGCAATATGCTTTCAAATGTAAGCAAGTATAATTTCAGTTCAGCCATTTATTTAATGTTTGTTAAACTATTTAACATATCGGCTCAAATTTGCTGAGGGATTTAAAGCTGTTCCCTTTTACTGGTGATTAACTTTTTAATTTTTACTTCATATAACGTTATAGCCTTTTTTGTTGGTCACATATTTTACCATTGCATGTGTTTTAACAGCTAGATCATGTTGCTATGGACGTAGTGCTAGTTGTTCTGTTCACTCCGGTAATATAATCGTTTTTGAATGAATAAACTCCTAAATAAATATTTTGTGTCAAATTATTTGGTAGGTAGCCGTTTGGTAGGTACAACCCCTTCAGGCTGATTCAATCAAGACCCCTCTGCTTTAGAGTTTGCGGGGTTGTATTCACTATAACAACCGCCTGGTTATACATTATCCCTTATACTTTTTTTATTTATTTATTTCTATGAGGACTGACAAGACAAAATAAGGACTGTCAACAAACAGTGCAGTACACCGGCACTATGATTTTTGCAGCGCCGAAGCGGACCTTTCACTGATGTAATGACGCAATGACGTGCACTTGCTAGCCTGTTCCATTTACGTGTTCTCCGAATGCTAAAGAGGACCCTTGCCTAGCCTCTGAAGGAAATGACTTGGAAGGACCCGTCCTGCCAAGGAAGTATCCTTGACATTGAGAAACACCTATAGATTTGAGTTCGATGCATAATGTCTCGATGCGGCCATGTCGGCGCATAACATACGTCATAAATAAACTTACGTTTATTTAAAGTAACCAATGATTTTAAACTTCAGAGAAGCGCCCCCTTGCGAGAGAGAAAACACTTATTATGCCATTCCAGACTCTGTCTACGAAGCAAAGTGAAGTAGCAGAGTCTGGTATTACCAGGCTACTAGACTGCTGGTGTATGGAACTATATTTTATTTGGTTAAAAAGAGCTATATTGTTTTAGGCAAATATGTAATGTAAAATGGACATTTGTACGATTAGAAGCTATTTTTATTAAAGCATGTAAGACTGGAAAAACTGATTAAAGAGAAAATATCTGACCAAGAAAATATCTGACCAATGCCCTCTGAAGACAAATGGCATTGCTTACTAATTAACATTTGACACTCTACCCCCTTTCTCTGAGAATTTACATCTTCTCTCTTTCCCTCTCAGTCAGTCAATGACACTGACAACTCAGAAGAATATGGTTTTTAATGTGAATGTGATAATCTTTTAGGAGTGTTTGAAATCATTTTGGAGGTCTCAGGGTGACTGGTAATAATGTCTCATTTCCAAAGTAATAAATCAAAAGTTAATAAGGTTTTAAGAAGTTTAGGAATAACTGTCACACAAAGGAGTGTGGTCTTTAAGTTAACACTTGTTAACTTGCTTGTTGTCTGAATGCAAATTACAACCAAGCAAATGGTCTGCCCCCCCAATAAACATAGTGAGGGGATTCAGTAAATTTCCACTGACACTTGCATATGAAATAAGGTCTGATTATAAAGGGAGATGCAACAAGAGTTCGAGGCTGCCTTTCTGTAGATCAGCCCATGATGTTGTGTCTTCTCAGCTCATGTAGCCTAATATGTTGGGTAAAGTTCTTTGTTCTAAAACATTTGATGGTTTGCTCTGATTATCTTGCGGAATTCTAATAATACATTTACCTGACATAATAAATTGTTATATTTGGCTATTCTAACAGACTTTGACTTTATTTTCATTAGAGTTAAAAGGAATAGTCAAGCATTAACGTATTTAATGATGCACAGATATCATTGATAAACCCTTTTCATTTTATGAAGTCAGATGAAACGAGTTAATACATAAGATTAAATGTGTTGCATTTAATTAAAATTCACTTTGCCATGGGAAAGACGGACACACGCTTGAAACCTTCACCACGAATCGAACTCCTTCATTTGGATCGATTTCGTGGCCCTTTTTACAAGCAAAAATGTCAACATATTTTGAGAACTTTTACTGCTTTCGAATTGGTCAATACAGATCAGATTTTGGATTATTTTGGATTTTTTTTAATAAATATAAGCAGTCACAAATAGTATTTTTGGCTTTCTTTCCATCTAGTAAATGAATGTAAATGTAATACAGTCATGTATTTGCTGGCACTAATAGCCAACAGTGCATTGATAATGCTTTCCCAGTCGAGAACACACACAAGAGAGAGATTTATTCATTAGTTTTTAGACTTTAGAGGAATAATTTAGCCTAATTATTTTTAAATAAAATACTTTCTGAAAACCTTATTCTGAAGCTATTGGGAACTTCATAATTATTCTTCATCGATAAACTTTGTTCAACTCTGATTTAAGAGTTTAATTAATGTGAGTAACACTTATATGTCATTTCTAATCAATAACGTGTAGTTTGACACTCATACACAGATAAGGTGAAGCTAATTTCAGGAACCCCTTTTCCACAAAGAGAGATTATTTAAGAAGATTTAAGATGTCATCCTCCTTAAGAAGTGTGTTTGTTGTTGCAGGTGACGCCCATCATCTCTCAGAGCTCAGGATTGTGTTGATTGGATATAGAGGAGCTGGTAAGAGTTCAGCTGGAAACACCATCCTGGGCCGAGAGGAGTTTGACTTGAGGAGATCTGATCAGTGTGTGAAGAGACATGGAGAAGTAGCAGACAGACACATCACTGTCATTGAAGCTCCAGGATGGTGGAGTAATTTATCTGTAGAGTTCAGTCCTGAGTTACTGAAACAGGAGATTTTGCTCAGTGTGTCTCTGTGTCCTCCAGGACCACACGCTGTACTACTGATCATACGAGTGGACACTAGATTTAAAGAGTCTGAGAGAAAAGTATTGCAGGAGCATCTGGATCTTCTCGGTGAGAGAGTCTGGAGTCACACTATAGTGCTGTTCACTGCTGGAGACTCTCTGTCAGACACATCTATAGAGCAGCACATCGAGAGTGAAGGCCAGGATCTCCAGTGGCTGATGGTCAAATGTGGGAACAGGTTTCATGTGTTCAACAATCACAACAGGAGTGACGACACTCAGATCAAGGAGCTGCTGGAGAAGATTGAGGAGACAGTGGCACAAAACAACGGCCGCCATTTTGAAATTGACAGAAAGATTTTACAGGAGGTGAAAGAGAGAAGAAGAGCAGAGGAAGAGAGAGCAGAAGAACGAATGAAGAGGATGCAAAAAAGGAGAGAAAACATCAGATCACAGATGAGTGAGTCCACATACTTTATAGTGCAGAGACACACGAGTATATTACATAAATCATAAAAATGTAACAGTCACAGCAATAATAGCCAGAAACTTCTTGTCATTAACCGCTATTTGTAGAGGCATTCCCAATAGATGTGTTCACAGCAGCTCACAGTGACGGCCCTACAATCGAAGGTGTTCACGGGATCCAATATCCACATAGAGGCTGCATGTCAAGGGATGGCTCGTGACTCAGTCCTCATTTTCTACTAAAGGAAGACCGACGAACTTAGCTTGGCATTTGAGTTGATTTTAGCAAGGCACATTCAGATATAATTAAACAGATGCAATACAGTCGACAGAAAGTAGGCTCCCGCTACACGGCCATTCCTGTACAAGTTCAAACAATTCGCCAAAATAATAAAAAAAACCGAAAGTGATCACCTGAGCCCATGTGACAGTACATAACCAATAAGTAATATCAAACAATGAATGGTCCTGAGAAGGAAATAAGCACTTACTTTCATTTATTAAATTATCCTGTTCTTCATAGGGTGTGCTTCTGATAACGGAAATTCATTTTCCTAATCAATAGAAAACCAACAAAAATAAATAAATAAAACATCTCGTCTTGAATATAATCTTCAACACCAGCTTTACACCAATAGACACGTCTCATGTTTGTTGCTGTTCTGAAGCACCGGGGCCTGTACCATGAAGCCGGTTTAGGTGGCTAGCCCGATATGTTTCAGTTTAGTTTGCTCCAACCCTGGGTTTTAGGCACCATGAAAGTGGTTTGGCTTTTAGCAGTGTTCATCGCCATAGTAACTTACGCTACGCAGCTAATCTGGTGCGGGTCAGGTTATGTTCCAGAATCCAGGGCTGCGTTCAGCCCGGACAAAACGTTGCACAACGTTTTTTAAACAGAAACGGTGATGCGTTGAACACCCCGTTCTGATGACGCAAGAGTTGCAACTCCCGATAAGCCCGATAAGGCCATTCTATGTGTTCATTGTGAAGAATTTTCGGAGCCTGATGAAGTCGGTATAAATATGTGTTTATATTACAAAATATACCCGATGTTACAGTAACTGCACTTGCCGCCCAGAACACAAGAGAACATCCCAATCAAGTGAAGGGATTTGTGGAAACTGAAAGGACACATCTTACCTAATTCAGACTAAGGCCCCGTCCACACTACTGTGTTTTCGTTTAAAAACGGAGACCTTTTGCTACGTTTGCACCTCCCGTCCACAGTCCACACTAAAACGGGAAAAACGAAGACCTAAAACGGAGAAGTTTAGAAACGCTGCAGCTGCGTTTTGAATCTCTGGAGGGGGTTTTAGTGTGGACGAGACAAAACGGAGGAGTTTACAAACGATGACGCAGAGGCTCACGCTCGGCTCTATGATTGGGTGTCATCAGTCATGACGTATCTTTCCCTGATTCGCCAACCACTGTTTACACCGGCGCGCGCATGCCCAGTGTTGGTGAATGGTCACGTGATCCACGTTTTCAGTCGTTTTAGTGTGGACGGAGATAAATTCTAATACGCAGGTAAAACGCTAGTGTGGACGGAGATCGTTTTCGTTTTAATTCTCCGTTCTTAAACGAAAACGCAGTAGTGTGGACGGGGCCTAAAACACATTCTGTTTAGCCTCACACACTAACTTTATTTGTATTTCATAATGTTTTAATAACCTATTTTCTTTCTTATTTTTAGGAAAAGCACTTACCATTTTTTATTTCTATACCAAATGTCATATCCTTGCAATGAAGCTAAAAAATATAATAAACTACATCATGTTGATATCCTATATTTTTACAATAAACGAGAAAACATATCTTCTAATATCCTCAGTTGTTGCATATATCGATCTGCATTGAACACATTTGTAAATTATTTTCCTTAACCCATTGTGCAAGTTCACTTTAATACCGCGTGCTTTATATACATGTTGCTGCTGATTGGATTGCAGTTCTGACACACCCACCAAACGAGAGAAAAACATATCTCAAACCCCGTTGCACAACGTTTCCTGGAAACATGACGTTCAACTAGGAAATCGTAGCAAAACGTTGCGCACCGTTTTGAACTTGAACGTGCCCCAGGTTAGAGGTTGCAAACTGAATTTGGACCAATCAGCTGTGAGCAAAGTAACATATCTAATGAAATCACTACACAGCAAAAAAAATTAAGACAAAATCGTCCGGCTTTTAGTAATGTTTTTAGAATAATAATTTTGTATGATTTAGAAATTTATGTAATTATTGTATCCTTAATCGATCACACGTACAATTTTAGTTAATTAATTATTATTACACATTTTAATTGAATACATATATAAAGGTAATATAAATACACTTTAGAATCAATAGATAAAGCTATACAATTTTTACATGTGAGCTTAAAGCAGCATTCTGTTATTTTTTAAATTTTGCTCTTGGGCTCCCCCTACAGTTGGGAAACAGTATTGTCTTCTACTCCTGTCGTAAAATCTGTCATGGTTACACTAAATGAATTCAATGTTTGTTGGTAGATAATAGCGATGTCGTCAATATTATAATATCAAGCTACCATAGATGAATCTGCACATTTGAAAAATCGATATGAATTAGCCTGAGGCAAGACACTTTCACCAGAAAAATAACAAACATGACTATCAGCCTGCAGACATAGGATACTTATCCTTACCGATTATTTTGTCCGTCTAATCATGTATTATTTACTTGCAAGAATGTAGCCCTAACCAAACTCAGTATACTTTCACGTCTCGAGCTGCCCGGAGATGCTTGAGTGTCGCGCCCTCAAAAGAAAGCAATGCAGTCTACACTGGATGCAGCGAAGCTACACAACACATTACCTACTGTAAACTGATCGCCCGCGTGCTCTGTTTCTGACGCACTTCACGTTTGGTTTTACTTGCTGCTTCAGCCATGACAACATACAGGGGTAAAACAGCCATGACAACATACAGGGGTAATAAAAACGCTTGTGGGGCTCTCGCGTCGGAATTTGAGGAAGTGGGGGAAGTGACGTTAGGGCTGAACGATTTTGGAAAATAATCTAATTGCGATTTTTTTAGCCAATAATGCGATTGCGATTTAATATGCGATTTAAAAAAAAAGTTATTTACCTTCTGTATTAGTCGACAAAGACGAGCAATAAATAATTGTATAGTATGGATGGGAATCTTTAGATAGCTCATGATTCGATCTACTTTTTTTCTTATTAATTAATCTTAATAACTCTTAAAATATGTATTAATTGCATGTGTAAAAACACATACTTTAAAAAATAAATATAAAAAAACATTTAATTAAAGCAATTACATGTTAAGAATTTTAAATAGGCTATATAAAATAATATAGCTTCAAAATATAAAAGCTAGTAAATAAAGAGAAACAAAAAAAAAAACATTACAAGCAATAAAGAAAGAGTGGTCTCTGTATTTAAAAGTAGGCTGTCTGAATGTTTTTCATTCAAGAGCTGGAGTGATTTCCCCTCAGTTTAGATACGATAAGCTGCATTCACACTAATGCATATATCTCTTTTGAAATTGTAAATGTGGTTTGTCCTGTTGGTTTAAGATATAACTGACCGTGTTTACATTAATTTCGCGTCATAAAAGCATTTTGACATGCAAGTACATTTACCAATGAGTCGCTCACGGCCGCATGCACGAGCGCTCTTCACAAAGCACGCGTTAGTATTTTAAAATGAAAGCAGCCTTCTCAGTGATTTTCATGGTTTTAATATATAAGCCAACTGCACTCCAAAAGACATAAATAATGCCTCTGTGAACTGAAGCATTTGTAAAGAAAATTCCGGCGGGAGAGAACGCGCACTGCAAGAGTAACGTTATAACATCAAGCAAAGCGGCAAAACCTGTTCAATGAAGCCCGCGAATGTCCTTGTAATTCGGTTCAATCCCGAACTTTATTAAATAACGTTACTATGTTTTGTAAGGCTCGAGCGGTGTCGTGTGTGTGAGTGAGGAAGAGAGAGAGCGAGAAAATAGAAGCAAGCAGATTCAGAACGCGGTTCGTTTCTAAAGCACGCGCAGCGTCATCACGCATCTGTGTTTAAAAACTATAAGCTCATACTCGATTCTGAAATTCTCTGAATCGATCCAGGATTGTTGAGGAGAGAATAAATAACACAATAAACTGTTCTTTTCTGAACGCCAGACCGCGTAGCGTGGCAAGTTGATGCTTTATCTTGCAGACTGCTTTTCTCTCGCGTGTCACGTGACCAGTATAATCGCAGCTCTTGCGATTACAAAATCGCGTTTCATCATATCGCGATTTTATCGCAAATGCAATTAATCGTTCAGCCCTAAGTGACGTATGCCGTAAACCACTCGAATTTTGTAGTTCTTTTTGTGCTCGGGTTCCTACCTGCACTTCGAAGTTATAGAGTGCCAGTAAAAGCGATACAGACACTGTCAGGCTATGGCAGACCAATTGTTTACATTTATCAAATGTAGTAACTAACTTCACAACATTCCCTTGCACTGATGTAGCAAGACTTTTTATTTTAGTTGTCCTCTATTTTTCTTCTTGCTGTGTAAATTTGTTTAAATTCTTAATATTTTTTACTTTCGTAATATTCTGTAGTGAGTCGCGCTGCTTCTCTCGTGAGAAATGAATCTCAGTTTCACTCTTTCTCAGCATGTGATTGGCTGTTCGCTACTGATGTCACCCCTAAACTCCTAAAATCAGTATAAAGTCTGAGTTGACAGATAAAGTTGATGATCAGCATCTGGTTGGAACCCTGAGTTTGTTCAACTGCCATCATGGTACAGGCCCCAGGAAGTGAGTTCCGTCAAACACTTTAAAAGTACATTACAAGTAAACACTACCAGACTGCTGGTGGATCTATATTTTATTTGGAGCTCCAACTAAGGCAAAAATGTCATGTAAAATGGACATTTGTTATATCAGAAGCTATTTTTATGAAAGACAAAATGTCAACATGTTCACAGCTTTTACTGCTTTCATATTGGTCAATACAGATCAGATTTTGATCTGTTTATGCCAATTAGGCTGTTTTTTTCCCATAAAGTTCTTTTATAATTATAAGCATTCACAAATGGTATTTTTTGTTTTTCATTCCATGTAATACATTAATGTAAATGTAATACAGTCATGTGCACCAGTGCATTGATAATACTTTCCCAGTCAAGAACACACACAAGAGAGAGATTTATTAATTGGTTTAGGGGGACAGTTTCATTTCAGGAACAGCTATTTCACAAAGAGAGATTATTTAAGAAGATTTAAGATGTCATCCTCCCTAAGAAGTGTGTTGTTCTGTATTTGTTGCAGGTGACGCCCATCATCTCTCAGAGCTCAGGATTGTGTTGATTGGATATAGAGGAGCTGGTAAGAGTTCAGCTGGAAACACCATCCTGGGCCGAGAGGAGTTTGACTTGAGGAGATCTGATCAGTGTGTGAAGAGACATGGAGAAGTAGCAGACAGACACATCACTGTCATTGAAGCTCCAGGATGGTGGAGTAATTTATCTGTAGAGTTCAGTCCTGAGTTACTGAAACAGGAGATTTTGCTCAGTGTGTCTCTGTGTCCTCCAGGACCACACGCTGTACTACTGATCATACGTGTGGACATTAGATTTAAAGAGACTGAGAGAAAAGCATTGCTGGATCATCTGGATCTTCTCGGTGAGAGTGTCTGGAGTCACACTATAGTGCTGTTCACTGCTGGAGACTCTCTGTTAGACACATCTATAGAGCAGCACATCCAGAGTGAAGGCCCGTATCTCCAGCGGCTGATGGTCAAATGTGGGAACAGGTTTCATGTGTTCAACAATCGCAACAGGAGTGACGACACTCAGATCAAGGAGCTGCTGGAGAAGATTGAGGAGACAGTGGCACAAAACAACGGCCGCCATTTTGAAATAGACAGAAAGTGTTTAGAAGTGATGGATGATAGAAATAAAACAGAAGAGCACCAGGAGAAATGGAGAGAGGAATCCGGATCACAGACTGGTGAGTGACATCATAAAATCTTATTAATAATATCTACATTTAGTCTCAGATGTGTTTCCTCTTGTGTGCCTGATCTTTAAAACGTCTGAACACACAGAATTGATCTTATAGTGTGTGTCGCCGGATCGCATTAAAGGTTTTCTGTTAGAGCGGTGTCGTGTTAGTGGCCCCTAAGTTAATAACTAATGACCGTTGCGACGGAAGGGACTCCATCAAAACTAACTTTAGCTGGACAATATCTTTATTCTAGAGATGCTATAAAGCCTAAACAATCTCTGTTAATTTAATTTCCAATTATCTCTGTAAAGCTGCTTTGAAACATATTGTTATAAATTAAGGTGACTGTACTTGACTTGAGGGTCAGTCTACTCTAGGTAGCCCCATTCTGGCCGGTCCGAATATGGTTCTCGGACATCATATAACTCCTGGCAGGTCCTCCGTGGAGATTCCCCTCAGGAGTGACCTGCTTTGCCAGAGCTGTGGAAACTGTGTGTGTGAGTGATCGAGATCATACTGCACTCTAGAGCTCCATCCACAAGGAGACGTACGGCCTAAAGGGGAATGTTTTCACCGTTTGGTGTCGGGAGCGTGGCTCCATGATCGCTTCTCTGTTGGTCTTACCCCGTACACTATTAAGGTGTAGCAGCTGTAGCAGCTTTCCATGCCATTAGGTGAAGTTTAAAATAAAATAAAAACATGAAATTGTATAATTTGTACTCCTAAAAAGATAGAAAATCGCAAAAAAATATAGGTATCTGATTTCTCTTTATGCTCTTGCCTTTTTAGGGTTTAAAAAGTCTGAACTGAATTTATCCATTGTAAATTCGTGGGGCTACATTAAACGCCTCTTCACACCGGGATGAATTTCGCGCGCGTTATTCGTCGACGTTTAACGCCTCGTGACTAAACAAAGGGCGCCAATGTGAATGTTCACACCGACATGTAAAACGCCATGCGTAGCGTCATTTTTGAAAAAACACCTCGGGTTCGTTTTTTTAGTTTGACGCGCCGCGTCAAAAACTATCCGACCAAAGAGATTGGCGCTTTTGCTCACGTGTTTGGAGCTTCTGAAGCTACAGTAAAACACAACTTGGGGCCGCTCAAACACAAAACGGTCTTGCCGAGCGAGCACATATATGCAACGATGAAGAAGATATACGCGTCGCCGTCTACACCGCCAGGAAGAAATAAGACGAGGAAGATGCAAGGCAAGATGAATGTTCTCGTTGGTGCTAGAACATAAAGAACTATATGACAAACGCGACTGCGACTACAAACATCTTGATAAAAGATAACTATTATGGAGTGGTATTGCAGAGCAAATTGGTGCCATCTAATGTCAGGGAATGAATTTGCATGTTCACTCGGCTCATCGTCAGCGAAAATCGCTTGGGTGTGAACACAAAAATCGAGTTGAAAAACGCTGACGAATAACGCGCGCTGATATTCGTCCCAGTGTGTACGGGCCTTTAATCTCATACTGTTAAAAATATGGGTGTAACATTTGATTCATCACTTAAATTTCCATCAATAGGAAACCAGGCAAGAGCTGCAGGGTCAAACAACTTTGAATAAGTGGATCCTCCTTCCCTGACCCATTTAGAGTTGACACAGTTGACCATCTGAATTAATTACAATCACATGAACTGATGAATATGTTCCTTTAATGGATAAAAGTGTCTGTTAAATGCATTCATGTTGTAAATGTTCTGATCTGCTCTCTGCTTTTATTATTACAGTGAGCGCCGGAGATGATGGATCTGATTCATGGTCTGTGGGAAGTTCTGCTTATGGTTCATTCAGATCACGATCAGGAGCGGACCCAATTTTCAGTTCATCACATTCCAGAGATTCATCTCACAGAAGTTACAAGTCAGGGGTCATAAAACGATACAACAGCTATGAAGTGCTACCACCAATCAGTGAGTGTCTTGTTTGTTTTGGGACTTTTTGGTTTATTTTGGTCTTCCTGTGACCTTGTTTGCAGCCTTAGAGCTCATGTTTTTGATGATTTGGAAAAAATGAGAATTTTTTTGTTTTGAAAATATTATATTTAGTCTACATTGTGATAAATTTGTCACCACACATTTTTCCCCATAATAAAATTTGGACTCTTTCTACATCTTCCATTTTCTCAATTTTTGCTAATTGAATTTATGACAATAAAGGCAAATCTGATATAGGCCTAAAATTAAAAAAGGCACATATAATATGGTTTGATTTTCTTAAGTTGATGATAAACATTTAGAGGAGTTTAAGCACTTGTTTATGCTGATCATTTATTCGTCTTTACATCTATATATGGTCAACTTTAAATGCTTGCAATAAACAGCAATCAGGCTTGTAATAAAGATATCTTATAGGACAAAACATGTAAAATCCCATCAGATTAATAAAGTAGATATTTGTATAATGTTTTAATGATGACCAATAGACTGCATTATTTTTAGGAACATATTGAAAGTTTTAAAACTTTAAAAATTTTGTTCTATAAGAGTTTTCAACTTTTTACTGATTTAAATGTTTTCCCCCCAGTGAGTGGAGATGAGCGGTCGGACACATGGTCTGTGGGAAGTTCTGCTTATGGTTCATTCAGATCACGATCAGGAGCAGACAGCGATTCGGTTTTTAGCTCATCACGCTCAAAAGTCTCATCTCACAGCTCAGGATTCGGGTCTTTGCGGTCGTCCATCCCGGAGTCTGAGGAACATTCAGAAACCAGACGAGCACTTGGTGGGACCATCATCTCAAAACTTTTCCCAAGAAGATCAAAGAAGCATGAAGACACTGAGAAAACTTGAATTATATCAAATGAATAAAAGAGAAATTGTGTCTTTATAACATTTATAATTTTGAGACACAATCTAACGATAACTATTACTAAAACTATAAAGTAGCCTATTGCAGTTGTCTAATTAAATTAGAGGAGAGGAGATCATAAGTCATATTGATATGCAAGTAACATTGTTTATTAAAGGGCACCTATTATGTCCCTTTTTACAAGATGTAATATTGGTCTGGGGTGTCCCCAGAATGTATTTGTGAAGTTTCAGCTCAAAATACCCCATAGTTAATTTATTATAACCATTTGAAAATGTCATTTTGGGGCCTGCTTAAAAATGATCTGTTTCGGGGGTATATGACCGGGGTATATGAGCTGCATATCCCCGCCCTGCCTTTGGATGAGGGCGTAACTTGATACCTATGGCAGTCGGTACTGAGAGACGCGCTGTTTTGAATGTCATTCAGCGTACGTTTGAATCAGAATATATAAATAGTACGAAGAGACTCCGGCAGGATAAACATAAATGAGAATGGACCAGTACGTCTCGGTATGGTTATTTGATACATTTATGTACTTTTAGAGTTGTAATCGTGTCTGGATGTGCAACACACACACACACACACAAACACTGAAGCTGATGCAATATTTTGTAACTACATACATTCTGTGAAAGTTTGCTACGTACAAGCGAAATTACATTTATACGAGGGACCTGTTGCGTCATGTTTACTTGTCATACAGGTGCTTCTGTGGCAAATGTGAGAAGATGGCTAACTTACAGAACAACAACATATATGTAGCCAGTTTTTAATACAATATCTTTAAAAATATATATATTTATAAACGTGTGGTTACACACTATACAAGGGTCAATGACGTGACGCTTGCTTTTTCTGTCCGACTGAACTTTTTACCAATTAATAAACATTAAAATTAATAAAATTATAACATGTATGTCTACCACCTCCCTTATACTTATGCCCACTCTTATTTCTTTAAAAATAATTGGTTTATTGGCATTTTCTGCCACCTGAAGTGTGAAAACATCATGTGGGGTGACCGTCCGGCCTTGACTTCTGTTTGGACAAGGCAAGGCAAGGCAAGGCAAGTTTATTTATATAGCACATTTCATACACAATGGCAATTCAAAGTGCTTTACATAGAAGAAATTAAAATAATCAAAATAAATAAGAATAATTAAAACAGTTTAGAATAAAAAATAAGAAATAATGAAAAATAAAAATTATGATAAAAATAAAATACAGTAAATTAAAACTATTTAGAATAAAATGAAGTGCAGTAACAGTCGGACGAACAGTGGCACAGTGCTCGTTCAGTAAATGCACAGCTAAACAGAAGTGTTTTGAGTCTGGATTTGAATGTGACTACTGTAGGAGCACACCTGATCTCTTCTGGTAGCTGGTTCCAGCTGCGGCTGGCATAATAGCTAAAAGCAGACTCTCCATGCTTAGAGTGAACCCTTGGTATTTCTAGCTGATGTGATCCTAGTGATCTGAGTGATCTGTTGGGTTTATATTCAGTGAGCATATCTGCAATATATTGAGGTCCTAACCCATTAAATGATTTATATACCAGTAATAATACTTTAAAATCAATCCTAAATGTAACTGGCAGCCAGTGTAAAGACCTGAGGACTGGTGTGATGTGTTCATATTTTCTGGTCCTGCTCAGAATCCTGGCAGCAGCGTTCTGTATGAGCTGCAACTGTCTTATGGTCTTTTTAGGAAAGCCAGTGAGGAAGCCATTACAGTAATCCACCCTGCTGGTGATGAAAGCATGCACAAGTTTCTCTAAGTCTTGACTGGAAACAAAGCATCTAATTCTTGAAATATTTTTCAGATGATAGTATGCTGATTTAGTTATTGCTTTGACATGACTATTGAAACTAAGGTCTGACTCTAGTGACACACCAAGATTCCTGACTTGATTTTTAGTTGTTAGACCCCTAGCGTCAAGGTATGCATTCACCTTAGGAACTTCATCTTTGTTTCCAAACGCAATAACTTCAGTTTTGTCTTTGTTTAACTGCAGAAAGTTTTGACACATCCAACCGTTTACTTCATCAATGCATTGGCACAGGGAGTTAATGGGGCTGTAGTCGTTAGGCGATAGGGCTAAGTAGAGCTGTGTGTCGTCTGCGTAGCTGTGGTAAGCGATTTGGTTCTTTTTCATTATTTGGCTCATTGGGAGCATATACAGGTTGAATAGGAGTGGCGCAAGAATCGAGCCCTGAGGGACTCCGCAAGTCATGGATGTCCACTCAGACTTATGTTCTCCCATACTCACAAAATAACCTCTCCCTTCTAAGTATGACCTGAACCATTTTAGGACTATCCCAGAAAGCCCCACCCAGTTTTCCAGCCTGTCAAGAAGTATGTTGTGATCAACAGTGTCAAATGCAGCACTGAGGTCGAGTAGTACCAACACGGATAATTTGCCTGTATCAGTATTTAAGCGAATGTCGTTTATTATCTTTATGAGCGCTGTCTCCGTGCTGTGATGCGATCGGAAACCAGATTGAAAATTGTCAAAATATCCATTTGAGCTTAAGAATTTGTTCAGCTGATTGAAGACAACCTTTTCAATAATCTTGCCTATGAAAGGAAGATTTGAGATCGGTCTATAATTGCTCAAGATGGTCTTATCCAGATTGCTCTTTTTCAGGAGGGGCTTGACAACTGCAGTTTTTAGGGAGTTCGGAAAATTCCCAGAGCGAAGTGAGGCATTTACCACTTCTAGGAGATCTGCTTCTAAACAGTTTAACACACTTTTGAAAAAAGATGTGGGAAGTGTGTCAAGGGCGCAGTTTGATGTTTTAAGGTGCTGTACGGTTTCTACCAAAATTGTGTCATCAATTTCTTCGAAATCAGACATAGTAACTACTTTCTCAGGCTGTGGTCTGATCTGCCTGACCCCAGAGCAACTCAAGGATGTGCTGATCACCTTTCTGATGTTATTGATTTTCTCAGAAAAGAAAGAAGCAAACTCACTGCACTTGCTGTCTGAGAGCATTTCTATGGGAATCTGGCTCGGGGGGTTTGTCAGTCTCTCTACAGTAGCAAAAAGAGTGCGTGTGTTGTTTATATTGCTGTTTATAATATTTGAGAAGAAATTCTGTCTGGCTTTGCCTAGTTCCCTATTGAAAGCGTGGATGCTGTCTTTGTAGATGTTATAATGGACTACAAGTTTTGTCTTCCGCCACATGCGTTCTGCTCTTCTGCATTGTCTTTTCATATTTTGCACAGCTGTTGAGTTTCTCCAAGGTGCTTTTTGTCTGCCACTATTCTTCCTGACTTTAACAGGAGCAATATCATCAATTACACTCTTAACTTTTGAGTTAAAAGAATCAAGGAGAAAATCAACAGAGTCAGCAGATATGCTTGGTTTTAAAGCTATAGCCTTCATAAATAGCACACCAGTGTTTTCATTTAAGCATCTCTTCTTGACAGACACAGCTCTAGCTTCAACGGCAGGAGAGATTAATATATCAAAGAAAATACAGAAATGGTCAGACAGTGCTACATCCTTAATAACAATCGATGAGATGTTTAAACCCGTACTGATAAGTAAATCTAGAGTGTGTCCACGATTGTGTGTGGGACCGTGTACATGCTGTGTCAGATCAAAAGTTTTTAAAACAGTTTTAATATCTTTTGCCATATTGTTTTCTGCGTTATCTATGTGAATGTTGAAATCTCCAGCAATGGCAAAACAGTCAAACTCAGAGGCAATTGTTGATAGCAATTCAGTAAAATCCTCAGCAAAGGCTGGAGAGTATTTTGGAGGCCTGTAAACTATGATAAGTAAAATACGTGGAGCACCTTTTAACACAATACCCAGATATTCGAAAGAGGGGTAATTCCCAAATGATATTTGCTTACATTGATAAACATCTTTAAAAAGAGCAGCTAAGCCGCCACCTCTCTTACCCGCTCTGCAGACACTCATATAAGTAAAATTTGGAGGGGATGTTTCGTTTAGGACCGTTGCACTACAGCTGTCTTCTAGCCAAGTTTCAGTTAGAAACATGAAGTCCAGGTTGTGTGTGGTTATTAAGTCATTGACTAGAAGTGATTTATTTTTAATGGAGCGGATGTTTAAAAGTGCTAACTTTATAGTTTAACTTTTTGTCCTCACAGCAGTCTTAGTTTGGCGTGTAATGGGCACCAGATTAGATGGGTTTGCTGTACGGCTGTTGAAGGCCTTAGATTTTCTATCATGTAAATGAACAGCAATAGAGAAAGATTCAGGCACACTGGGTTCCCGCTTGTTCTGTAAACATTTGATAAAGTTATTGTTTTCATAGTGAGGAACCGAAATATTTCACTTAGAGCTGGTATCAGTTGTTTTTGGTTCACCTCGAGCCGATGGGGGAGGCTGTGGGCCCTGGCGCTGTGGCAGAGGCCGAAGAGCTCTCCGAGGAGGGGGAGGGCGAGCTGGGCCCGAAAGCTTTGGTGGTTTTGGGGCCTGCCGTTTTTTGGTTGGTATCTGGGGGCTTGCAGCAAAAGAGTGGGATAGTTTGGTTCCAGCAGACACCAGTTGTTCCATTTTCTCTGAGAAGCACAGAAGTGGAGATGCTGGAGAGAGTGATAACGTGTCAGGTGAGATGGGCTGTTGCTCTGGTGTTATTGGAGGGTGTAAAATGCTGTCCTGGTTTCCCTCGTTGTTTTCCAGAAAGTCGTCCTTGGGTGCTGAATCTGGGAGCAGTTCTGATATGTCACAGTCTGTCTGTGGTGAGCTCTGTGGGCAGAGCTCTGCTGAGATTGTATCCGTGAGCAGAGGTTGTTGTTGTGGCTGAGTGGTGTTATCATTGTCCTTGTGTGATGTGTCAGCAATATGTCCATTCAGGTGCTGAAGTGAAGTCCTGTGGTCGTTCATACTGTGTCCAGGTGTGTGAGTGCCATTCAGGTTGAATGGATTGGCACACACTGCAGAAGGATGATGGAGGGAGAAGTAGATATTGTCCTTTAGTACTCTTGAACCAAGTTTGTTTGGGTGATGGCCATCCCGTTGAAACAGTCGCCTCTGACTCCAGAAAAGATTGAAGTTGTCAATAAAGTTCACTCCTTTTATATTACAGGTTTTTTGCAGCCATGTGTTGAGCCCAAGCAACCGTGAAAACCTGTTTGTGCCTCTTGCTGGGAGTGGTCCACTGATGAATGTTTCAACTTTCAGTCTTTTAAGTGTTTCAAAAAGTTCATTGAAATCCTTCTTAAGGAGTTCTGACTGCTCTTTATGAAT